TCAACATATTATAATAAAATAGGTAAATTTGCAATATAACCGGTATAAATATACCGGTCTTATGCGCGAATAGGTCTACAACCTATATCGACACTTTTTAATATTGTGTCGGTACTTTATGTCCATATTGGAAGAAAAATGTGTCGATACGATTTAAAAAAGTGTCGACATTTTACACATCGGAACCCATAATTATAATGTAATAGATAATTTTGTAATATAACCGGTATAAATATACCGGTTTTATGAGCGAATAGGTCTACAACCTATATCGACACTTTATAATATTGTGTCGGTACTTTATGTCCAGATTGGAATAAAAATGTGTCGATACCATTTAAAAAAGTGTCGGTAATTTGAAGTAACGCGGTTTTTCTTCCTTCATTCAAAATATTTATATGTACATTCAATAGGAGTCATGTTGATACTTACGATATATTATATGGAGATCGTTGTCATTCCATTCCGTCTTCGAAAAAATCAGTTGATGTAGGCTGTGTGCTTGTACTCAAACTAAGCTTGACTTGAGGACATGTTAGTTTGTTATGCCCCTCACCGTTGCAGTACCCACATCGCCTAATTTTCTTCTCGACCTTGTTCTTCGGCACTTCTTTTCGCTTGAGAATGCTGCTGTAAACTTTGGGTCACCAATTTTAGCTTGTGCATTGCGAGAAAGATGCCAAGAACATAATCTGTGCTTAGCATAAGGGATAACAGATTTGATAGCCCTCTGCATTGCCCTATCCCCATCGGTTACAACAGAAATAGGTGATTTATTCATCATGGCTTCTAAAAAATTCTGTAGCACCCACTCGAAAGATTGAGACGTTTCGTCAGCGATTATGGCAGTGGCAAACACAATTGTGTTATGGTGATGATTGACACCAACAATAGGCATAATTGGTCAACCATACAAATTATCTTTGTACGTTGTGTCGAACGCAATTACATCACCGAAGCATGTGTAATCCGATCTCGATGTAGAATCCGACCAAATAAGATTATACAATGCCCCCGATTCGTCTACCGAGTATGTCATAAAAAACCCGGGATCATCATGTTTCTTATAATCAAAGTAGGCAATAAGCGCATTCACATCCCCATCGACGATTTCCTTTGCTTTACCTCTTTGAAGTGCATTGTAGAGGTCTTTTGTGTAAATCCAACATTATGATAGCCCCCTGCCTGCTGCGTTAAATAGTTCATTACTTGTGACGTGCCAACACCGACCTCTTTCAATGTTGTTGCCTCATCGATATCAGCCTTACTTACAGCTCTATTAGAACGCATAAATGGTGTCATAGCAGATGTGCACAATGCATGATTATGTTTCTGATCAGACTTACTTATAACCCACTGATCGTTTGTATTTGTTGCTGTAACTACGACTCTAGCCTTACATCCTGTTCTTGTGACTGGCGTATGAGCACGTTGACGATCAACAGTATTGACTTTTGATACTCGAAACCCTTCTTTGGAACAACAAAATTCTTGTGTCTTCACATTCCCTTCCACGTCAAGCCGTGTTGTTCCCTTACGTGCACTAAACCCATGTTCCCGTGCGAATCCCTTGTAAAAGTGCCAAGATTGATCACGTGAACAGAAGAGCTGACCAACCAATCTGTCAGATTCATCAACATTATGTACTTCATGGCATTCCTCGGTTGGCTTAACATTGTCTACATCAGTATTATCCATGGCAAAAATTTTGTTGTGCAAGTTCAGTGCTCCAGGAGTTGATGGATATGTAAACAAAGGTTCATTTTGAACATGTTTCTGTCGTGCTGCTTTCAATAGGATGTGGCATTGGTAGTGGTAGTTAAAGGGTGGGTACAACATTAAATTCGCAGTACATATTTAGGTATGTACAATAACTACAAGTATATTATCATTAAATTTAGGTATGTACAATAACTACATATTTAGGTATGTTTGTTAACTACATATTTAGGTATATACATCTTTTGAGTGAGTTTTAAGATATTAATTTAGTAATTATAGGCGTCTAATGATTTATTTTTTACGTTACGGTATATATTATTATTAAATTAAAAATTCTAAATAATATTTTATAAAATATCAAAACAATCAACTAATTTTTTGTGCAAATGAAATTATTAAATCAATATTGTAGGTGGAAAACATGAAACACTGTTAAAAAAATTGAAACATAAATTACATAACTTTTAAAAAAAGTATCGATCCTTTTTATAAAAAGTATGGACACTTTCAATATAATAGGTAAACATATGATGTAATAGGTAGCCCTTATATAATGTAATAGGTATCGTTTATATAATGTAATAGGTAGTGGTTATATTGTAAAGTGTCTATCCTTTTTATAAAAGTGTCCATACTTTTTTCACTGTGGAAAACATTAATTTAAGGTTATCTTTTGAGTGAGTTTTAAGATATTAATTTAGTAACCATAGGCGTATAATGATTTATTTTTTACGTTACGATATATATTATTATTAAATTAAAAATTCTAAATATTATTTTATAAAATATCAAAATAATCAAATAATTTTTTGTGCAAATGAAATTATTAAATCAAATAATTCAAATTGAAAATTAAACAACAAATCAATTAAACATTGTTGTGGGTACATTAATTGAACATTGTTATGGGTACATTATTTGGAAAAATAATGTTCCGGACTTTGTTAGAAATAACTCTTTTTCATTGGATTAATTTCGTTGAGATGGGTTATGTATAACAAAACAATCTATCTCGCATGTGAGTACTTTATTCCAACCATGTGACAAGTGTGACAACTCCATCAACTCACAACTCAGCTTTGAACTCAATCAATATTGTCTTTTAGCTTGATGGTTCATAAAGCATGTTACTTGAACAGTATGAATCAATTATGCAATTTTCATGTTCAATTTAACACTGCATTTCAAATTCATTTCATATGTAATTGGAGTTTGAATTTAAATTTCAATTTGAGTTTGAATTTCAATATATATTTCGGCTCCACTATAAATATTAGCCCAAGCCAATATGCATGTTATCATTGATTATTCCTAATTTCTATTGTTTTTTTTCCAACGTATAAACGCGAGGGAAATCCCGACCATTTTATTTTTTGGTCAACTTTAAAGCGTCAGAAACGTTTCGGGTGTATGATCTGGGTGGTATACAAGAAATGTAACAAATAGCAACTAAAATCATAAGTTGAGTACCACCCAAATCATAAGTCTGAAATACTTCCGATGCTCATCAAAATCCAAAGCTCATATGGTGCCAAGCAAAAGGAAATCAAAATCCAAATCTCATATGATGCCAAGCAAAAGGAAATCAAAATCTACAACTTGAGTTTGAACATTGATATGATATGTTCAGTTGTTATCATGTTGGGATTTTCTCGTTTTTGATTGCTTGGATAGTTGTTCTCTAGCTTCTTCAAGTGTTCTTAAGGTTATCCTTTGAGTGAGTTTTAAGATATTAATTTAGTAATTATGGGCGTCTAATGATTTATTTTTTACGTTACGATATATATTATTATTAAATTAAAAATTCTAAATAATATTTTATAAAATATCAAAACAATCAAATAATTTTTTGTGCAAATGAAATTATTAAATCAATATTGTAGGTGGAAAACATGAAACACTGTTAAAAAAATTGAAACATAAATTACATAACTTTTAAAAAAAGTATCGATCATTTTTATAAAAAGTATGGACACTTTCAATATAATAGGTAAACATATGATGTAATAGGTAGCCCTTATATAATGTAATAGGTATCGTTTATATAATGTAATAGGTAGTGGTTATATTGTAAAGTGTCTATCATTTTTATAAAAGTGTCCATACTTTTTTCACTGTGGAAAACATTAATTTAAGGTTATCTTTTGAGTGAGTTTTAAGATATTAATTTAGTAATTATAGGCGTCTAATGATTTATTTTTTACGTTACGATATATATTATTATTAAATTAAAAATTCTAAATATTATTTTATAAAATATCAAAACAATCAAATAATTTTTTGTGCAAATGAAATTATTAAATTAATATTATAGGTGGAAAACATGAAACACTGTTAAAGTATCGATCCTTTTTATAAAAAGTATGGACACTTTCAATATAATATAATGTAATAGGTAAATTTGTAATGCTATCGGTATAAATATACCGGTTTACTTATAAAATAGGTAAATATAAGCGCTACCTATTACATTATATAAGCGCTACCTAGTATGTTATTGTACTTTATAATATTTCCGGTTAAATAATATAACATAACCGGTCTAAATTTTAACCGGTCACTTGTTTAACCGTCACGTCGTATATTAACCGTTTTTTAGGCGCCGCACTACAGAACTACCCAATAAAAGTAGTCTAAGTAAAAAGGAAAAAGGGAAAAAAATAAAGATATAATCTTTCAAATTCCTAGGAACATGTGTACCATTAGTTCTCAGCCACTTGTTGGACCCAACACCACAATTGGCATCTTGTGAGGGAAAATACACATGCAATGGTGTAAGGTGGGGTAATTCTATCGCATTTAAATCTTAATATACGATTAAATAAATATGTTTTTGAAAATATTATTATTATTTTTAATATTTTTGATAAAAATTTATATAAAAAATTATTTTTTTACTTAAAATATTAATATTTTTTAACAGAAAATAAAATGTCTAATATTAATATTTACGTTATAAAAAATAATATTTTAGATAGCGTTTTACAAGATATGTTAAACATTTTTGATAAAACGCTCAATAATAACATTTCAAGTAAAAATAATAATGTTTTAGGTAATTTTTTACTAAAAATATTAAAATATAATAATATTTCCGGTAATATCATTTCTTAACCGTATATTAAAGTTGTCGCACTTTAGACTTTCTCATGTACAAACCAAAATTTATCTTATAAATATAATTATTTAAATTTATATATTTTAAAAATAAAATAAGATTCCCGTTTACATATACAATACCTAATATGCCGAAATTTGGTTACGTTGAAATACTGCAGAAAACTTTGATTGATCCATGCATAAAGGGCACCTTGAACGTGCTGAGATCCTGTGCAAAAGCCAGCAGTCCTGTAAAAAGGGTTGTTCTCACATCTTCTTGCTCCGCAATTTTGTACCGTTTCGATGTCCAGAAACAGCAAACTTCCTCCCTTAACGAATCACATTGGAGTGATCCAGACTACTGCACACGCTACAATGTAAACATTTTCTTCATTCCTTTGTTAATTGGTTGAACGATGTTCCTTTTTCCCTGAAATATTTACGGGTTTCCATATATGCAGCTGTGTTACGCTTATGCGAAGACGACAGGTGAGAAAGAAGCATGGAGAGTCGCAAAAGAAAGTGGGATCGATCTGGTTGCTGTGAGCCCATCTTTTGTGGTGGGTCCTTTGCTTGCGCCACAACCAACAAGTACTTTGCAGTTGATACTCTCCATAGTTAAAGGTAAGGTTTCTATATATTGATTCTCCTACCGAATGATGTACACATTATTTTATATTATGATGAAGTTATAAAAATTTAGAGATTGAAATCATATTATCAATAAAAAATACAAAGAATATATTTAAATTATATGAGAATTTGATTTTTTTAGAGGAATGACCACCCTCACTGACTCCATTTGTTCATAGTGCCATGGTTTTGTGTCTTTGTGATCTTGATGCCGTGAAACATCGACTTACCAGGTACGAGAGGCGAATACCCCAACACCACAATAAGGTTTGTGCACATAGATGATGTGATTGCGGCCCACATTTTAGCTATGGAGGAAAGCAAAGCATCAGGCAGGTTGGTATGTTCCGGCTCGGTAGCTCCTTGGACGCAGATCATTGAGTTGCTAAGGGCCAAATATCCTTCCTATCCTTTTGAAAACAAGTGAGTTACACTTGCACACCTTTCCTTTATCTGTATAGAATCAGTCAAGAAGCAGAATTAATGGAGTAAATGGGCATTGCAGGTGCAGCAGTCAAGAAGGAGACAACAATGCACATAGCATGGACACGAGCAAGATTCATCAGTTGGGGTTCCCGGAGTTCAAATCGCTTCCTCAAATGTTTGATGATTGTATCAAGAGTTTTCAGGACAAAGGATTTCTATGAAGTTCACTTGGTCGTTCCTGTGTAAACTTTGGTTCATTTGGTTTTTCTCTTTTGTCAAATGCTTGATACTTTTTTTGCATGAACTCTACTTCTTTTCTCATTTAATTGTCTAAATTTTTATTTCAATCAATGTAGGTGTTAAGAAAATATTTCATGAACTCTGTTCACTACCTCATCCATAATCTCCATCTAATTAAATTACTACACATCACATTTATTTTCCATATCATATTCTTTCATTAATTAATTTTTTTAAATCATTATCTTCTTCTTTATCTCATCTCTCTTAGTCTCCAATCTTCAAACATCAATTCAGTTTTCACTATGCTTTTTCTTTGATTCATCCATGTATATATATATTCCACTTGAGAGAAAAAAGGACTGGAAAGCAGTATATTACACTAGGGTTCCACCCTCATATTCAGTGAGGCAATAAGTCCCAACATTGCTAATCTTCCGTTCCACAACTCAGCATCTGAACTCATCAAATCATCGGATTTTGACTCCGCCGTTACCGCTTGAAACAACAGAATCAAAGATGCCAGTCCCAACGAACAACGGGATACCACCGTCCGATAATTGGGTAAACACATCTTGACCCTTGGTTAACTCCACCGCCAACGCTGCAACAAATCCAACCATCGCCAGCCTACCATTGATCCTCTCCGGTGCAGTCCCACTGAAAGCGAACACGTCAGAGGATCTGGTGCTTGCTTTCTGTGCTTCTCGAGCAGGTCTTGGAAGACGAAACATTGGCGGAAATAGGCTGTTCAGGGCATGGAAGAGCCTACATGGATGGGTTGGTTGGTGATGAAAATGAACCGGTTTGTGAATGCAACACATGTTATACAGCTCCCGACTGCTCTCACTTCATACCTCACTGCACAGCAAACGCCGATGGGTACCACTCTGCTACACATGATATCATCAACACCTCTTTTTCATTTTCCTTTTACCTCACTGCATAGCAAACTGAGTTGGGTTTAGATATATTCGATTCTTAATAATAAAAAATATACACTTTCAGTGATAGGCCAAGGGAAACGGCTAGTGAAAATTCTAAATTTTCATATATTTTAGACATATTTTATTAATAATATGTTTTTGTCTCCTAAAATATTAGAACTAATCCCTTAACATAAAATCTTATATCTAATCTTGTATATTTTAAATTTACATACAAATCTCCTATAAAAATAATTTATCAATATCTCATAATTACAAAGTAAAATTCGTCTGATACGTATTTAACTAAGTATTTGCATAGCTTTATCATTTACATGGATAATTTTTTATTGGCACTATTTTTTTCAAAAGAAATTGCATTTGGTTGGACTTTGATAGAAAGAAAGTTTACATAAAATCGAATTGAATAATGAAGTTTGTGTGTTAACATCATTTAAAAAACTTACGTTTTTTCTATGCTTTGTAACTTGTTTGTACAGACTTTTAGGGTTCCTCTCTCTTTCATTAGGATGAATTGGCCTCAATTTCTCAAATAGTAGATAAGATTGATGGGATGTCGCTCAAACCACGCAGATACAGTTATTTTTTTAAAGGTAAAGAGTCTACTTAAAAATTACATAAATATAGTTAATGAACAAGACAAGACAAGATTTAATTGGTAAATCATATCGTGAAAGTTGAAAGAGCTTATTTCAACATTCAAGTAGAAATTTGTAGTATAATCCATTTGATCCAAGTGGGTTCCATAATATTTTCCCCGATCTCACAAGTGTTTTTCCTCTTATTGAATTCATCCATCCCGATCCAACTCTCTATATTTCTTATAATAGTCACTTTGTTTTTTATTCTTTTTTATGTAACTTTTTGACATTAAATGTTTTATTTTAAGTTAAAAAGATCTTTCCTATTTTAGAGTGTTAATAATTAGTTAAAAAATCGATTTCCATCATCTATAAAGGGATCTTTATGTCCTAAACTAAAACGTTGGGGGTCAAATATTAAATAATAATAAGGGTAAAGTATATAAATAGTCCATGAACTTTTAGGATGCTTGCATTTTGGTCACCCAACTCTTCAGACTTGTAATACAATCATTGAACTTTTAGTTCGTTTTTAGTAAGGTCACTGACGTTACCTCCCGTTAGTTTTTGTTGACGTCACATTTAACGCCGTTAACCCTCCTCCTCCTCCTCTTTTTTCAAGAGCTTAAACCTAGAGCTTCTTTTTCTTCTTCAAAAGCTTAAACCCATAGCAATTAAAAATAAAACAATGTTAACCCTTTTTCTCATCTAGACCAAAGGTCCAAAACCATATCCTAACAAAATGCCATCATTTTCTAGCAATCAAACAAGAACTATATATAAAATCAAAGAATGTGAAGAGAGAGATGGAAGCATGGAAAAGAAGAGAGAAAAATCAAAGAATGTGAAGAGAGATGTGAAGAGAGAAGAAGAAGAATGGGGAGGAGGGGGTTAACCGGAGTTAAGTGCCACGTCAGCAAAAATTAACGGGAGGTGATGACAGAAACCTTACAGAAAACGAATTAAAAGTTCAATGATTATATTACAAGTTTCAAAAGTTGAGTGACCAAAATATAAGTGCCCTAAAATTTTGGAGACTATTTATATACTTTACCTTAATAATAATAATAATAATAATAATCAAAGTAACTATTTAGTCAAGCAATATAATTTTTTTTTAATATTGTGCCTAATAAGTAAGTAGTAAAAGATAAATTCTTTTTTATTTAATGTAATCATCACGGTTACGGTGTCTATTGTTGGTGCGGTTATGATATCACATTTGCGATGTTGTAAACGTTACAAAACGCATAACATTAAGAAACCCTAAACCTGATCTGCTATGTCAATGTAGTCTTCACGGGCAATCTTTGGGTTAAAGTAATGACAAATTTCGATATGCAGCGGAGATCCATTGTTTCTGGAACCTTTTTGGATGCAGCATTCAACTAGTAGTGCACTGGTAGTATCAGGGTGGCATCGAAAGAGCTATAACTATAACGACGACACCAAAATCTCAAAACAACTGGAAGGGCTCATCCGCAAGCTACATGCATTCGTCGGGAACGCCGTCACACGGAACAGATATATCGTTTTAGGTGCAGGTTCGACCCAAATCCTTAATGCTGCAGCTTCCGCATTGTCTCTCGAAAACACCTCCTCGCATTCGCCTACACGAGTCATCGCTTCCGTCCCCTACTACTCTGTATGTTCCGGACCCCACACCGATATTGTACTTCTTGCTCGTGTTTGTTACCATCGATCGTCGTCATTGATTTGCATCCGAACTGATTTTTTGACAGCTCTACAAAGAACAAGTAGAATATTTCAATGCGGAAAGATTGGAGTTCGAAGGAGAAGCATATACATGGAGGAATAGATCAGATGGTAGGCCTAGTACAAATGTCATTGAGTTTGTAACTTCACCAAACAATCCTGATGGACGATTAAACAAAGCGATTGTTGGCGGGCCTAGTGTGAAAACAATCTCTGATCGTGCTTATTACTGGCCTCATTTTACACCAATTCCAGCTCCTGCAGATGAAGATCTCATGGTGTTTACACTTTCTAAACTTACTGGTCATGCTGGCAGCAGATTCGGGTAAATGTTGTTCTTATTATTGTTCAAAGCATAATTGAAGGATGCAATTAACATTATTTGTTGTGTTCTCTACACAGATGGGCAGTGATAAAGGATGAAACTGTGTTCAACAGAATGGTCGCACACATGGATCTCAATTCCATGGGTGTTTCGAGAGACACTCAGTTAAGAGCTTTTAAGCTTTTGAAAGCAGTCCTGGAAGAAGGAACCGGAATATTCGACTTCGCGTACCGGACGATGAAGACCATATGGGAAAGACTGGCTGCGACCTTAGCCTTGTCAAACCGCTTCTCCCTTCAGAAATTTAATCCTCAGTACTGCTCTTTTTACAGTAAAATCAGTGACTTTTCACCAGGCACCACTTCTCTACACATGTTATTTAATGTTCTTACCATTTCTATTCAACAATACAGAGTAGAATGTCCTTTAACTTTATGATTATGGCAGCTTATGCATGGGTGAAACGTGAGAGAGAAGAAGATAAAGATTGTTATGCAGTTCTCAAGGCAGCTAACATCATTGGTCGTCAAGGGAACATATTTGGTTCCGAAGATCGATATGTTCGACTCAGCCTGGTCCGAAGCCAAGACGATCTCGATATATTAATACATCGTTTACGAGAATTAGTATCAGCCGGAACTATGTGAATGAGGAGATCAACATTAGTTCATCAAAAGCTTCCATCACGTCCATATATGATTGTTTGCAGTATAGAAACATGGATAGGGAGAGGTCATGCAGTCCATTGACCTTTGTTAGTGTTATAAGAGGGAAACGGTTCATTTCAATTACCCTTTGTATTCTTTAAAGAATGGTCATGTATAAGAACTTGTGACATGTATAAGAACTTATAAAAAAAGTTAATTATGTTTATTTTTTTAAAAAAATTGAAGGGTAAACTACGTATCTAGTCACCCATCTATTCATGTAGTTTCATTTTGATCACCCAATTTTTTTTTCAAGACCATGCATAACATTACATTTTTGTTCTGTTTTGGTCACTCGCCGTTAAAAAATAAAACAAACTGCTAGCACGACAATTTCTTTTTATTTCTCAATGTATGGCATTATCTTGTGATGGCATGTCACATCACCGTTAACACAAAACATAACATTGTGTATGATTTTGAAAAAGAAAATAGTTTGATGACAAAACAAAACTACGAGAATAAGTGAGTGACTAAAATGTAGTTTATGCAAAAATTAAAACCATAAAAATATATATAAAAAAATCTAAAAAGTTGGTTTTCTAAAAGAGAATATATTTTTAAGATTTTTTTATTATAATTTTGTTTGAATTTTCTCTTTTTTAATATTTTATTACATTTGGTAAAGTGATAAACATAAGGAACATATAAGGGGTTAAAAGAGAAAATACTGCATGGACCAAACTGAAACTCTTGTTAAAGTACAGGAGCTAAAATTAGTTTTAAGGCTTAATATAATTTGGATCCGACGACGAGCAACGGTACAAAAAGTAAGGCCAGAATGATGGTTGGTTGCGGAAGAAGAAAGTAGAAAGATGCTAAGAAAGGGCGTTGATAGGGTGATTAAGAGAAGATTTCATTTACCAAAACCCTCTGAAATTTGGCGGAATGCCCCAAAAGAGAACGCGGAGTGTGTGGTGATCGGAGCCGGAGTCGTGGGACTTGCAGTGGCCAGAGAGCTGTCGTTGAAGGGCAAAGAGGTTTTGGTCCTAGACTCAGCCCCCACCTTCGGAACCGCCACCAGCAGTCGCAACAGCGAGGTCATCCATGCCGGCATCTACTATCCTCCCGATTCTCTCAAGGCTCGTTTTTGTGTGCGAGGAAGAAACTTACTCTACCAATACTGCTCTCAGCGTGGTATTCCTCATGACCAGATCGGTAAGCTCATTGTTGCCACTGGTGCTTCGGAGATTCCAAAGTTAAGTGAATTGTTTAATCGTGGGATTCGAAATGGGGTTGAAGATCTTAGGATGTTGGACGCTTCTGAGGCCATCAAAATGGAGCCTGAATTGCACTGTGTCAAAGCCTTGCTGTCCCCTGCTTCTGGCATTGTGGATTCCCATTCTCTAATGCTTTCTTTAGTGGTAATGCCTCTTTTCTTCTCAATTAATTTGGTGACAAACTTAAATCAATTAAGTTACTAAACATCACCAGGATCCAGGGGGAGGCTGAAACTAATGGCGCCACTTTCTCTTACAATACCGCTGTCATTGGAGGTCATCTTGAAGGAAATCAAATGGCCCTCCACGTTTATGAAATCAAAACACTTGCAAACTGGGATGGGGAGATTCCATTGCAACCGGACCTCCTACTTATTCCTAAATTTGTAGTTAATTCTTCGGGCTTGAGTGCTCCCGCTTTGGCTAAGAGATTCCAAGGTTTAAACACAGCTACTATTCCGCCTGCATGTTATGCTCGTGGTTCCTACTTCACCCTTTCAAATTCAGATTCTTCTAGGCGTCCTCCTTTCAAGCATTTGATATATCCTATACCAGAGGAAGGTGGCCTTGGAGTGCATGTCACTCTGGACTTAGATGGCCAGATTAAGTTTGGCCCAGATGTTGAGTGGATTCATCATCATGTACCTGATACAACCAAATTCCTTAATAGGTTCTTTTCTCATCACATTCCAATTTTTTTTTTATGCTGATTTGGGTGAAATATTTGTTTTCTATTCTCAGTTTCATGACCATGGATTTTCTATAGTTTTGTTTGTTTATGAACCTATACAAGTTCCATGATTTGTAGATTTGTATTTCTTCAAATAACCGAACTACGGTCCCATGTAGAGGCATATGCTTGTTTTTTTTTACCTTAAAGGAGTATGATTATAACAGGTGTGGTTACTTACAATTTAGGGAATAAAAAAAAATTCTCCTATAGTAGAAGTTGCCCTTTTCCTTGAAGGTATAATCGGGAAAACACTAAATACATGATAGGGAGTAATTTGGATTAAAATCATTGTGGGCTTTATTTTTCTTTTCTGTCTCGTTCTTTTGTTTGCTGACAATGGAAATATGTCATGCATAACAATTGTCCCAACATCGAATAGTTTAGTGTGTATCATTTGTTTATGCTGATGCTGTACTTCAATTCTTTATATCCTGTTGTACGCATTGCTTTGGTACTTTTTCCTTTCAAAATTGTCTTTTTTTTTCTTTTTCTTTTTTTGTAATTTGATAATGAGTTGTTATTGTTATTACTTGAGCTCTTCTTCCAGAGCCAAGCCAGCTTCCTTCCAAGAACTGTCATTGTTTTGTGCATTAACTTAAAGGGTTAATCCTATTGCTTTTTATGTGAAAGTGGCCAATGTTCTTAAGATAATATAGTGATTGGAAGAAATCTCTTGATGCCTAACTTTGTAGAATGTAACCGAATAAGATATATGTATTCTAAATGTATTTCATATTTATCTACTTAGAAGATAAGTTAGATAATTAGTAGATAGTTTAGGTAAGTAGGACTCCTTTGTCATCACTAAACTAATAGGACTACTGTTTCGTATTCAGCCTTTTTAATCAGGCTGCTGTTATCAGTTCTACATGAATGAAAAATCGGATAAGAGAAAAACTCTCTTTTTCAGATAAATCTTCTTTATAAAACTTACAAACTTAACAGAATATTTATATCGTAATGAGGTTTTTTCCATGTCATTTATGTTTTGAAAGTTTATCTACTGTCATAATTACATTTGAGCAACTCTTTTTTGGCAAGAAAATTTCTCTTGTGCAGTAGAAAATTTAATTGCATCTAATTAAAATTCCATTTAATTTTTAGTATTTTCTCATTTGCTAGAACTTTTTGAACCAAGTAATTTGATTGTGCTGTGCTTCTCTTTGCTTTGTTTGAGCAGAAGTACTCCATTTTGTGTCCAATTTGGGTTGTTCTAGGACTCAGTAGGTGATAGTAAATTAAGCTTTGTTCAAAGTCTTAGTAGTGATCTTTTACATTTAGGAAGTCTGTACTTCATTTGATATTTCATTTGTTAGAGTTAGAACACCTATATTGGGTGTTGGCATGAGAGGGTATCACATGGATTTTATTGGGTGTTGGCATGAGAGGTTATCACATGGATTTTATTGATTTACTTGCTTGGCTGGTTGGTGAACCCTCTTTCAGATTTTAACATTAAAATTCCAGTTTCAGTTTCCACTATACTTTTCATTGTACTTTTCAATAAAGAGGGGATAGGTGTATTGTGGGGAGGGGGTACTTGTTGGAGCCATTCCATCAGTAGCTCTTTTGTTCCTCTGGAAATGGCATTGAACTTGAATTAAGAAACACAGCAATATTTTTTTTTCGAGTTCACTTCAGATAAATCAATTGCTACGTTTGTTGCATAAAAGCAATTGATTCAGTTGTCAGTTCTTTTGCTGAATGGAATGTATGTGCTTGTATAGTGAAAGACATCGCCATGGGGTCAAAAAACTAAGCTATGTGGTTCCATGCTCTCAGGTTTGACTATTCTGTAAATGCTGAGCGTGTTGCAAGATTTTATCCCGAGATTCGCAAGTACTACCCAAATCTCAAAGATGGATCTCTACTGACAGGTTACTCGGGGATTCGACCTAAACTTCATGGACCTGGGCAGTCTGCCACTGATTTTGTAATACAGGTAGGTTACTCGGGGATTCGACCTAAACTTCATGGACCTGGGCAGTCTGCCACTGATTTTGTAATACAGGTCTGTTTCATGTATTCTCTTTAATATGGAGTGTTAAAACTAATATAATTTTGTCAAGCCATATGAATTTCATTTATGGTACAAAAAGCTACTCATTTTTTAATAACCTTGCTTAATTTTCTCTAAGAAAGGAATAAAAGAAATTATGTATGTTCCCAGGTTAGCATTCAGACAATTGTTTGTCCACAATTTATGATTGACATGAAACTTAGCAACAAACAAACAACAGCCAAGCCTTTCTCACTTCTTGGATAAGCTGAATGGACTATAGCTTCTGCCAATGTACTTTATTTTGAACCATTGAGTAGAAACATTAAGTTTCTAGTCTTATTTAATAGTTAAACTTCTATTCCTTCTCATGTGCTTCTGAAGAAGTACCCAGTTGATAGACATGTGGTTAATGAATCTAAAGAACCAGTTTACAACCACTTCGTGACATGCTTGATGAAGAGGAGCCTACCATAATAGAGCCTAAGCAGTGCAACATAACTAGCCACCTAAGAACTAGAAATACAATCTAGTTTTAAAACTGAAGTTGAGCCCAAGACTGTGGCTTTGAAAATTCAGAGAATTTAAAATGGTTAATATCAAATCAAAGAATTTTATTCGCTATATAATATATATTTAGGGACAGCTACAAGAACCTAGAGAAAGAATGTTCACTGAAAGTGCATGAATCCTCCTCTAACACCATCCTCTCTTTGAGTTTTAATAGTTTAATATCATTATTTATGATCCCCAACCATGTCATTTTTAGTCTGCCCTTCACCCTTTTACTCTGTTGAACCTCAATTTGCTTCATCCTTCTAACAGGTGCATCCCTCAATTTGCTATGTAGCCAAACCACCGTAATGGTTTTCTCTCATATTAAACTCTATAGGAGCTATCACCTTAGTCTGTTATTAACAAAAATTAGTATTTTTCATAATCTCGAAATAGCAGGGCCTTGGGTTACATTTTGGTATTTTGCAAGTTTCAGCCTTTGGAATTTAACTTTTGATATTTATGTTTCTTAGTGTTATTTAAGTTTCCAATTATGAAAAATTGGGATTTTGAGAACTTGAATGTTTCCATTCTCTGTTTTATTGTTTCTTGCTGGTTTTCTTTAGTTGTTTTACATTATCTGAGCATCTAAAATTTAGTCGAAAAATATTTGGATCATGCTGATTGTCAGGCCTTGTCAGACTCTTGTCATTGCTTAAATGCAGCAATAGGGTAACCGGAAATTCTAATTCTGGTTAATGTGCTTCGATCTGTGGTTACCTTATAGGCATTTCTTGATCTAACTGTGCAAAACTAGGCTTTTTACACTTGATACTAAAGTTGTATATTTATCATTTTAAGGAAAAGAATTTGTTTGTATTCTAGACAAGGCTTAGTGATACCAGAAAAGTATGCACTGCATCCGTTTCTGTTAATATTTGTCGAATTAATGGTATAATACAATAATCTATGGCCTTTTGCTTCATTTGTGTGCTTTTCACAATCCATTTTTTAACATTTATGTAACTAAAGTAGACACCTACCCCTGCCTTGTTATCATTGACTTTCTTCATTTGCAAGAATATATCACATAACTTCATGTGTGAAAATTTGAAAGAAACACATCAAATAGCTCATTTTTTATATCTTGTTTCTCATACGTTTAGAGTGGATTTTAATGATTTGTATCTATTCGACTATTTTGACTTAAATCTCTCAAATTGTAATTTTTGTAGGGAGAAGACATTCATGGAGTGGGTGGTCTTGTAAATCTTTATGGAATTGAGTCACCTGGGCTGACTTCAAGCATGGCGATTGCCGAATATGTGGCTGCTATGCTTTTAGGAGGATGAAGATTTACTATAAAATCAAAATAAACAGCTGACACATACCATATTTTATGAAAACTGTTATATAGTCATGCATGAGTCGTCTAATAATGTCATGTGTAGTAGGATGGATGCATGCACACATACCAAGTGAAAGTGATGGAAAGAAAAGAGAAGGATCCCACCTGCTGATTTGCTTCTCCAAGAATTTCCCACTGATTCCTAGTACAATGCCTTGGTGCTGCACGTGCTAATAAAAAATCGCCTATGCTCTTTCTCCTGTTACTCAAGCAATGCTAGTTTGTAAAATGTTAAAATATACATTAGTTTAGTTTTGGTTCAATGCGCAATATGATCTTTGATTTGATTTCGTATAGTCATATACATAAAGTTTTGATTTTCACAAATAGTTGATACTGTTATTAAAGTGAATCTACTTGCTGCATATGCAAATAATTGTATTTTTTTTACATAACAATGGCCAAGAAGTCTATTTCGGGAACATGATCTTGTTATTCTTCGTCTACTGTAACATCCTCCATGCCGGGTTAGTGATTAATTTGCAAAGTTTCAACAATTGGTGATTAAAGTAGAATAATTATGTAGTTAAAAAAATAATGGTTAGTAAATATGAAATGTATGTGAGGACAAAATGGTCATTTGTAAGGAAAAATTATAATTAAAAAAATGTTATGGGGTTATATTAGAACCCACGTGGGGCTTGTGGAGGAAACAAAGGTTTCCAGAATCCTCTCATTTCTTCTTCTTTCTTTCTTATCTTCTTCTCTTCCTTCTCCAAACGTGAAGCTTGCAAGTAAAGGTAAGAATCTGAACCTTGGTAGTTTCTCTGATTTTTAAGATTGGAAATGGAAGTTTGGATGTTATATAAGCTAAAGGAAAGCTTATATGGCATTAAGACAACAAGATAAGTGTTTTAGAGATAGATTTGGAAAATGAGTTTTTAGATGAAATTTTGATATGGATGAGTTTTTGATGTTTGAATAAGATTTTTGACTTGTCAATAAGTTAATTAAGAAGTATGAAGTAATAGCATTGAAATTAGAACAAGTTGGAATTGGAGTAAGATTCTTCAATTCTATATGGACGAGTAGTTTTCTTAGTTTTAGAGGTATTGAATGGATAATAATTAGTTTAAGTAAGTGTATGAAAGCTAAGAGTATTAAAGGGAGTGAAATATGTATATTTGAGCTGAAAGGAAAGGATTTTCGAACTCAAAATAAGATTTTCGGGCTAGGGGAATCGGTACCCATTCAAGGGGAACCGATACCCCCTCAACGAATATGAATTTCCAGAATGCTAGAGGGGAATCGATACCCCCAGGGGGGGAATCGATTCCCCCATGAGAAAAAAAAAGAAGAAAAGAAAGAAAGACTAAGCTATTAATTTCTTAAATTAGTAAGCTATTAAAGCTTAATTTCAAGACATAGACATCTGATGATCATCTTGAAAATTATGTTTATGTAGATACCGAGCCTACACGAGTTCGGGAACAATCTACAAGTAGGATCGATCGAGGAAAAGACAAAGAAGTATAGGTGAGTGCATATGCATAGCATGATTATAGAAATATACTTCATTCTAGACTTGTGATAAGTCTAGATTTTATATCTTGGTACATGAGCATATTCTGTATTATGAGACATGACATGAGTTCATATAAAATGCATTATATGACATGAATATGTGGGAAAAGTTATGAGCTATGTGAAAAGGTAAAAAATTACATGTCTACGCGATATAGACTACGTGAAATGTAAAAGCCCATGTTATGTAGATGAGAACTATAGGTATAGTTGGCATGCCAAGGGTAGAGGGTCTACGCGGTCCTTCGGGACATATGTATATTCTTTGGAACATGTGTGAAGTCTTGAAAGACACATGCTTGATCCTTAGTATATGTATATGATTCTTAAGGAATTCTATGTGGTCCTTTTGGACATCATTATATGGCACTACGGTGCAATTCTACGCGGTCCTTCGGGATATATATATATATTCTGTGGAACATGTGTGAAGTCTTGGAAAGACACATACTTGATCCTTAGTATATGTATATGATTCTTAAGGAATTATATGTGGTCCTTATGGACATCATTACATGGCACTACGGTGCAATTCTACGCGGCACTTCGGTGCATTTATACGAGATGTGGTGACAGCATAGTGCACAACCTCACATTACTCATATACCTTAGGTTCTCAATATGCTATCATGGGCCAATAAACTTATTAATACAGATTCATGAATGTTACAGTCATACGCTTACAGGTATGGATATTGATGATGTATACTACATTGATTAAGTACATATTTGCATCTCATCTCATATGATCATGACATTTTCATTACATTGCCTTGTTATTATTACTGCCTCACTAAGTCGATGACTTAGCGTGTGAGTGTTTCACACGTAGGATCCGAGAAAATAGACGAGATAGGTGAAGCAGCTTGACAGCATTACTCCTGCAACCACCAGATCAGAAGCAACTTAATCAGTAGGTCATTTTGTTATGTAAATGGCAGTTGGCATGTAATTAAAGGGTTAAGTTGTGTATGCTCTGAACATTTTGATAAACTTATATTACAATATGTATATTATTGTATTTTCTTAATATAAGTTCAAATATTTTGCTATTATTGGTTAAGAGTCGTGTTTTAAAAGTTAATGTAATATCTATGACTCATATCCGGGTCGGGTACGGGTTGGGGGTGTTACATTTAATGGTATCAGAGCTATGGTTTAGCCGATTCTAGGCATAAACAAGAGTCTATAGAGTCTTTAAATGGAATACATGCCAACAAATAGTGAGAACTTCTGATCTGGTATAGTATGAGTATGCTGTTTTGCTAATAGAACAATGTGTTTATTCTTATTAGATGTCCGGACATAATAGCTCCCGAAGTGAAGCGGGAGAAGATAGGCATGCTGAAAGCAGTAATTCACCTGCCCTGGCCAGGCAAGGTGAAGAACAGGCATCTCAAGGAGTGTCTGTGCAAGATCAAGATACGTTCTTCAGAACGTTAGACGCTATTCTAACGCGTCTTCAACCTTCTGCTCCACTAACTCAAAGAATTAATGTAGCAAAAGAGTTGAGAGGTTTAGGAGCTCCCGAATTTAAGGGAGAAGCTGAGGAAGGTCTAGTGTCAGCGGATCTTTGGTTGAATGATTTGAAAATCATGTTAGATGGTCTCCACTGTTCCGAAGTGGAGAAATTAGATGGAGCTGTGTCTTTATTGAGGGGTCAGGCGAGGATATGGTGGACGAACGTCACCATGAGGATGTCAACCGACCAGTTGACTTGGTCTTTGTTTTTAGAAGAATTTAAAAACAAATATATTGGAGATCAGTTTATCCGAAAAATGAAGCAGGAGTTTATGAATTTGAAGCAGATGAGCCGTTCTGTATATGAGTACGAATATGAGTTTAATAAGCTGAGCAGGTTTGCAGCTGAGCTTGTGCCTACTGAAAAAGATGCTTGCGAATGGTTCGTGGAGGGCTTGCGCCCTAGACTTAAAGAAATGTTGATAGTATTAAACTTGTCCTCGTTCCAGGAGGTGATCAATCGTGCAAAAGCTCTTGAAAGGGCTCAGAATGAACGATTTGGGGACTCAAGAGTTCAGACATCAAAGAGGACGACTACTTCTTCTAGCTCAGTACCAACAAAAAGGGGAAGAGACTCGGGATTTCGATCGCAAACTAGATCAGAATCAGTTGCATCGTCTGCTAGGGGAGCAAGTCAGGCAAGACCTAGACAGACGCAGTCAGTGGAATCTGGTGCTGGGAGATCTACTCCGAGTCAAGGGAGACAGTGTCAGCACTGTGGGAAAAACCATTATGGGGCTTGTCGTATGGCTGCTGGGGCTTGTCGTATGGCTGCTGGGACTTGTTTTCGATGCGGAGATGCCGGACATTTTATTCGGGATTGCCCTTTGATTGTTGGTGAGCCTGCACCATCTGGAAAAGTTGGTTCTTCCTCACAAAGAGGACGAGGAAGAGGCAGAGGAAGGAATCCGTCTGAATTCTCTGCTCAACTTGAAGTTCGATCCACTGCTCGAGTATACAATCTAAAGACAAGTGAAGACCGTGATGACCCTGATGTTATAGCAGGTACTTTTCAGTTGTATGATAAATTAGTATTGGTGCTGATTGATCCGGGTTCTAATTATTCTTATATTACCAGTAAGTTAGTAAAGGAGTTGAGGATTCATATAGAAGCTACGAGTAATGTGATGATAGTAACTAATCCGTTAGGGCATAGTACTCAGGTGGACAAAGTCTGTAAGGGGTGTCCCATAAAGGTTCAGGGAATTGAATTCCCTGCTAATCTGATGGAATTACCCTTTGACGAGTTTGAAGTGATTCTGGGAATGGATTGGTTGTTTCATTATTATGGGAATGTCGACTATAGATTGAAAAAGGTAACCCTGAAGAGTCCAGAAGGAATAGAAGTTAATGTGATCAGTGAAATGTGTAATCCTTTAGCAAATGTAATATCAGTGATGTCTGCCAAGAAATTATTGCTACAAGGATGTCAGGGTTTTCTTGCAAATGTGATTGATTCAAGAGCTCAAGAGAAAAAGTTAGAGGAAATTCCAATAGTTCGAGAGTTCCCTGATGTTTTTCTTGCTGAATTGCCAGGATTACCTCCGGATAGAGAGGTAGAATTTCAAATTGAAGTAATGCCAGGAACCGCTCCAATTGCAATGTCACCTTATAGAATGGCTCCAAAAGAATTGCAAGAGTTAAAGAATCAATTGCAAGATTTGTTAGAAAAAGGATTTATTCGACCAAGTGTGTCACCTTGGGGAGCTCCGGTGTTATTTGTTAAAAAGAAGGATGGATCAATGCGTCTCTGTATTGATTATCGACAGCTTAATAAGGTGACCATTAAGAACAAGTATCCCCTTCCGCTCATTGATGACTTGTTTGATCAACTAAAAGGAGCTTCGGTATTTTCGAAGATCGATCTACGTTCGGGTTATCATCAATTGAAGATCCAGGAGAAAGATATTCCGAAGACAGCTTTCAGAACGAGATATGGTCATTATGAATTCATCGTAATGCCATTCGGAGTAACGAATGCACCTGCTGCTTTCATGGATCTCATGAACAGGATTTTTCAGCCCTATCTGGACCAGTTTGTTGTTGTCTTTATTGATGACATACTGGTGTACTCGAAATCCCATGAAGAGCACAGCACACATTTGAGGCTAGTTTTGCAAATTCTCAGGAATAAAAATCTCTATGCGAAATTGTCCAAATGTGAGTTCTAGTTAAAGGAAGTAATTTTCTTGGGGCATGTGATCTCGGCAGTTGGGATTAGAGTAGACCCTCAGAAGGTTAAAGCTATAATGGATTGGGAAGTTCCTAAGAATGGGTCTGAAGTTCGGAGTTTTCTTGGACTTGTCGGTTACTATCGAAGATTCGTTAAGAATTTTTCGATGATTGTGCTGCCTCTAACAAAGCTAATGAGAAAGAACGTACCATTTGTTTGGACTTCTGAATGTCAAGAAAGCTTCGAAGCTTTAAAGAGAATTCTGACGGAAACTCCGATATTGGTTCAACCGGAATCTGGCAAGAATTTTGTAGTATACAGTGACGCATCCCATAACGGGTTGGGGTGTGTATTAATGCAAGAAGGAAAGGTGGTAGCGTATGCATCGAGACAGTTGAAACCACATGAAAGGAATTACCCCACTCATGATTTAGAAATGGCTGCTGTAGTATTCGCTCTCAGGATTTGACGTCATTATCTTTATGGGGAGCGTTGTTACTTATATACGGATCATAAGAGCCTGAAGTATCTGATGACTCAAAAAGAATTGAATTTGAGGCAACGTAGATGGGTAGAGTTTTTAAAGGATTATGATTTGATAATTGACTATCATCCCGGAAAGGCTAATGTGGTAGCAGATGCTCTGAGTAGAAAGACGTTTGCAGCCTTACGAGCTATGGATGCAAGATTATCTTTAACGGGAGACGGTGGTCTTTGTGCAGAATTAACCCTTAAACCAGTATGGTTGGAACGGATAGGAGAAATTCAAAGTAAAGATGAAATGTGTTTGAAAAGAATTGAACAAGTAAAGAACAAAGAGATTAAAAACTTTGAGATTAAGTCAGATGGAAATCTATATTGTAAAGGAAGAATTGTAATACCCGACAATGACGACTTGAAGAAAGAAATTTTATCAGAGGCTCATTGCAGTCCGTTAACGATGCACCCGGGTGGAACCAAGATGTATATGGATTTGAAGAATCGATTTTGGTGGTCAGGGATGAAACGAAGCATCACCGAATTTGTGTCTAAGTGTTTGATATGTCAACAAGTCAAAGCCGAGCATCAAGTTCCATCAGGATTATTGCAACCGCTTTTCATTCCTCAATGGAAATGGGAAAATGTTACGATGGATTTTGTTTCAGGGTTACCCTTGACCCCGAACAAAAGAGAATCAATCTGGGTAATTGTTGATCGATTAACTAAGTCAGCGCATTTCCTTCCGGTTAGAACGGATTTCTCTATGGAAAAGTATGCAGAGCTGTATATTAGAGAAGTTATTAGATTGCATGGAGTACCTGTTTCCATAGTCTCTGATCGAGACCCTCGATTTACTTCTAGATTCTGGAAATCTTTACATGGAGCGTTGGGAACTCGTTTAAACTTTAGTAGGACTTTTCATCCTCAGACTGATGGGCAATCAGAGAGAACTATTCAGATATTAGAAGATATGTTGAGAGCATGCGTAATGGAATTTAAAGGATCATGGGAAAAGTATTTACCGCTGGTAGAGTTCGCTTACAACAATAGCTATCAGTCGAGTATTAAAATGGCTCCCTATGAAGCTCTTTATGGAAGGAAATGTCGTACGCCTTTGAACTGGTACGAGCTCAAAGATAAATAAGTGCTTGGTCCTGAGTTGATTCAGGAAGTAGAAGAAAAGGTCCAGATAATTCAGAGTAATCTCAAAGCTGCAGCAGACAGACAGAAATCATATGCAGATCTAAAAAGGAAAGAAATTGAATTTCAAGTGAGAGATAAAGTGTTTTTAAAAGTGTCCCCATGGAAGAAGGTGTTGAGATTTGGTCGAAAAGGAAAATTGAGTCCTCGGTTTATTGGACCATATGAGATTGTAAAGAGAGTAGGACCTGTAGCATATCAGCTAGCTTTACCACCTGAGATGGAAAAGATACATGATGTCTTTCACGTTTCAATGCTTCGAAGATATCGATCGGATCCCTCCCATATCGTAAATCCAGAAGAGATCGAGGTACAACCGGATATGACTTATGAGGAAGAACCGATTCAAATTTTAGCTCATGAGGTTAAGCAATTGAGGAACAAGACTATTCCTTTGGTCAAAGTGTTGTGGAGAAACCACAAAGTAGAAGAAGCAACGTGGGAGCGTGAGGAGGATATGAGGAATCAGTATCCCCATCTCTTTTCTTATTGAAAATTCGAGGACGAATTTTCTTAAGGGAGGGAGATTTGTAACATCCTCCATGCCGGGTTAGTGATTAATTTGCAAAGTTTCAACAATTGGTGATTAAAGTAGAATAATTATGTAGTTAAAAAAATAATGGTTAGTAAATATGAAATGTATGTAAGGACAAAATGGTCATTTGTAAGGAAAAATTATAATTAAAAAAATGTTATGGGGTTATATTAGAACCCACGTGGGGCTTGTGGAGGAAACAAAGGTTTCCATAATCCTCTCATTTCTTCTTCTTTCTTTCTTATCTTCTTCTCTTCCTTCTCCAAACGTGAAGCTTGCAAGTAAAGGTAAGAATCTGAACCTTGGTAGTTTCTCTGATTTTTAAGATTGGAAATGAAAGTTTGGATGTTATATAAGCTAAAGGAAAGCTTATATGTCATTAAGACAACAAGATAAGTGTTTTAGAGATAGATTTGGAAAATGAGTTTTTAGATGAAATTTTGATATGGATGAGTTTTTGATGTTTGAATAAGATTTTTGACTTGTCAATAAGTTAATTAAGAAGTATGAAGTAATAGAATTGAAATTAGAACAAGTTGGAATTGGAGTAAGATTCTTCAATTCTATATGGATGAGTAGTTTTCTTAGTTTTAGAGGTATTGAATGGATAATAATTAGTTTAAGTAAGTGTATGAAAGCTAAGAGTATTAAAAGGAGTGAAATATGTATATTTGAGCTGAAAGGAAAGGATTTTCGAGCTCAAAATAAGATTTTCGGGCTAGGGGAATCGGTACCCATTCAAGGGGAACCGATACCCCCTCAACGAATATAAATTTCTAGAATGCTAGAGGGGAATCGATACCCCCAGGGGGGGAACCGATTCCCCCATGAGAAAAAAAAAAAGAAGAAAAGAAAGAAAGACTAAGCTATTAATTTCTTAAATTAGTAAGCTATTAAAGCTTAATTTCAAGACATAGACATCTGATGATCATCTTGAAAATTATGTTTATGTAGATACCGAGCCTACACGAGTTCGGGAACAATCTACAAGTAGGATCGATCGAGGAAAAGACAAAGAAGTATAGGTGAGTGCATATGCATAGCATGATTATAGAAATATACTTCATTCTAGACTTGTGATAAGTCTAGATTTTATATCTTGGTACATGAGCATATTCTGTATTATGAGACATGACATGAGTTCATATAAAATGCATTATATGACATGAATATGTGGGAAAAGTTATGAGCTATGTGAAAAGGTAAGAAATTACATGTCTACGCGATATAGACTACGTGAAATGTAAAAGCCCATGTTATGTAAATGAGAACTACAGGTATAGTTGGCATGCCAAGGGTAGAGGGTCTACGCGGTCCTTCGGGACATATGTATATTCTTTGGAACATGTGTGAAGTCTTGAAAGACACATGCTTGATCCTTAGTATATGTATATGATTCTTAAGGAATTCTATGTGGTCCTTATGGACATCATTATATGGCACTACGGTGCAATTCTACGCGGTCCTTCGGGATATATATATATATTCTGTGAAACATGTGTGAAGTCTTGGAAAGACACATACTTGATCCTTAGTATATGTATATGATTCTTAAGGAATTATATGTGGTCCTTATGGACATCATTACATGGCACTACGGTGCAATTCTACGCGGCACTTCGGTGCATTTATACGAGCTGTGGTGACAGCATAGTGCACAACCTCACATTACTCAGATACCTTAGGTTCTCAATATGCTATCATGGGCCAATAAACTTATTAATACAGATTCATGAATGTTACAGTCATACGCTTACAGGTATGGATATTGATGATGTATACTACATTGATTAAGTACATATTTGCATCTCATCTCATATGATCATGACATTTTCATTACATTGCCTTGTTATTATTACTGCCTCACTAAGTCGATGACTTAGCGTGTGAGTGTTTCACACGTAGGATCCGAGAAAATAGACGATACAGGTGAAGCAGCTTGACAACATTACTCCTGCAACCACCAGATCAGAAGCAACTTAATCAGTAGGTCATTTTGTTATGTAAATGGCAGTTGGCATGTAATTAAAGGGTTAAGTTGTGTATGCTCTGAACATTTTGATAAACTTATATTACAATATGTATATTATTGTATTTTCTTAATATAAATTCAAATATTTTGCTATTATTGGTTAAGAATCGTGTTTTAAAAGTTAATGTAATATCTCTGACTCCTATCCGGGTCGGGTACGGGTTGGGGGTGTTACATCTACCATCTTCTTCTTCTTCGGTATTTAAGAACGTCGTCGCCTTCTTTGAGTAGTAGGAGGTAATCTCTCCGATGGACCACATGGAAGGGTGTGCCCAGTCTCCCGTTCAATTCTTCTTTTGAGCTCTCTTAGTATCCGAATTTGCCCCAGCTTTTCCGGGGACAACTTATCCCAGTAGATGCCTGCAAATCAAAGAATAGTTGTATCCTAATACTAATATCAAGTGATGAGTTTTTAAATTCAAGTTGGCAAAGAAACAACCAAAATCGAATACTAGTTCCCCCAAACTTTCATCCTATATTTATGCCAAAATGCATGCACATCATGGTACTTGCTTTAATGTCTGGAGAGCTCTCTAGAGGTGATCTTATGGATGAATCTTTGATAGAGAGCCAAGTTACTAAATGGTGGAATGGTGTCCGGATACTTTCTGCAAAAATCCTTCATCGGGAAAATGAATACAAAATAATGGAATAAAAGATGCATTTATCCAAAGTGAACAACAATAGGGGATCATTCCTCTTTTGTACTTGGCAGTAACCAATTATTTTCTGGGCAAAAAGTAAGCTAGAAGTTTTCAAATTCATCACCATGGGCAATAAATCATGGCTAAAGACATAAAACCGAAGGTAGAACAAGAGTTTTTACCAACCTTGAGGCTTCGGAATTGCTGTATTGGTGAAAATAACTTGAGTAGGAGTACATATGATGTCAACAGGGACATCATGGACCAGCAATTTCTCAATTGGAATATCATCTACCAACTGATAGTCATGCACTGTAACAAAACACAGAATCCAGTAATCGATGTGGGAAAATTGTTAGATAGCATCCGACAAATATATTAATGACGCAAGCAGTATCAAGAGCAGAGGAGTTATGGCTGATAACAACACTGCATTCTTCATTCTTCTGCTTTTATGTGTGTACATATATAACACTTTTTAAGATCTCAGCAGTTGTACCAATCTCCGTGACAAGGAGCTTCAGTGCTTTATAACTAACCAAAGCTTCATTTGACAAATAAAAACAGATATTCTCTAGTCAGTGTGTCTAGAAAATCTCATAATCTAAAAGTAAAGTTGATAATAATTTACCATGAAGTGATAGAAGAAGCAAAAGTCAGGAAAAACACTGAACAGTTAATAGTCTAGGGTCCAAAAAAAATCATGTGGTGCTTTTGGACCTAGAGTTGGAATTCATGTTATTGTTTTCTTGTAAGATGTCACTTCAAATTTTTAACTACAGATGATAGATTACATACAAGGATGTTCACAAGTCGATTCCCCTAAGATCACCCATCAAACAACTGTTAGGAAATGAAAAATCTATCAGATGTCACTTATGTAATTGTTCAACGAGCTACACATATCGGATAGCATCTATAGTTCACCTAAGATCAACCATCAAACAACTATTAGGAAATAAAGAAAAATCTAACATAATTATTCAACGACCTACATATGAGATAGCATCTACAGTTAAAAAATAACTAGTGAAGAAAATCACATGTGAATAAATTTTGAGTGCTAAAGAGTAGATATATCTAAACATTGCAATTAATTGAAATTCAGATTATTATCATGGGGTTTGAGAATGTTAACACTAGTAAAAAAGTAAAGATATGAGTTGTGGTCTAAAACAGTTGCAATAGACTACTGGCTTCCTGTTGCAAGTTCAATGTTGAGTACTCATGAATAACCGTTCCAGTTTAAAAGGAAAGGGACTTCTGTTAAAAAATCCTTCTTTATTGAAAAATAGGTGACTGTTATACCTGAGGTAACCACCGGGGTTGAATCATCAATGGCACCCATATACCGCAGCATGCCATATTCAAGTTCGGCAAATCCCTGCAGCCAAGTCCTAATTCCTCTTAATAGCAGTTTTGAAAGGGTAATACACTAAAGAAGTGTTCTCAGTAGATTAATGGAGATTAGTTTTCATTCATAAACGGTACAGTGCCAATGCAATGCTGACTAACAAGATAACAGGAAAATTTTGGCTAATGTATTCAACTCATAAGGGAAAATAAACCTAAAGCGTTATTAGCAGCCAAGAAAATAAGCAAAGAAAGTGACAGTTTCTGCAAATTATTAGTTCTTAAAACTGATTGGAATGGTTCATTACCATTGATTATTGACTATCGGATGAGATAACAAAGATGACAAAAATGGGTTATGAATAGAAATTAGTATTTTGTATTTTCGAATGTGGTAGAGACAATTATATGTTCTTATATCACATTTTCCTCCACCATCAACCTTAGACTTACAGGATGACCAAAAAAGTAACGCAGGAAGACAGAATGGATCCTTACCTCTCCCTTGCCGAGTCGAGCCCCAGTATTTGGATCTACAGCAACTGAACCAATGACAATTACATCCACCTTGATCTTTTCATCCAATCCAATTGGCCTTCCATACTTTGCAACCCCTACAGAAGTGCATGCCTCATTGATGGTACTAGGAGTAAGCATAGAGGACTCAAGTATTGAAAAGAAACCGGTTCTCAAACGAGGTTGTGGAGTAAGCAACTTCTTGCCATCTGTACACATATAGAGGTCATATATTAAGCTATAAACATAGCTGCTCCTGTACCACAACAATTATGTTCTAACTTCATTAAAAGAATGTGGATTGACCTAAAAGTAATTAAAAACCCAATATATACACTCAAATAAAACTCTCTTGTATGATATCCTCAACAGTCACCTAGCAACCCAATGAAATCATGTCTTTTGAAGAGCTGTTATCCCTCATTTCTTAGATTCTCTATTGCTTATGGTCTTTATGTCCAAATTACTCAACTGGTTTAAATGAAAACATTTAAAAGTCAAATGGAATGCATTCAATCACTATAGTGATAGCAAATTGATGATTTTCGGTAAAAACTAACCAGAAAGAGTGAGAAACCTGACTTGCTTCTGAGGCGAATCCGGGTTTACCTTTACACATTTTGCCATCACAAATGCCTCCAGCTCGCTCAACTGCCCAAAATTTCCTCATCAAGTATATGAAACCCAGAAAATTCAACAGTTCGAAAGGTTTATGAGTTTTTACTTTTTTGGCAGCAGCTGAGGCACCTACAAAGTTTGGGATCCGATGATGAACGGGTCTGGGGTTCTGGGCAATATTCTGCGCCTCCATGAAATCCCAAACCCTTTTACGAATGACCCATTTCCAAGCTCTGGGATCATCATCTGTTTCCGTCATTGTTTTGGAAGTCTGGGCCATTGATTCTCGAGCCTTGGCGTCCAATCTCAACCTCTCAGCTTCATATGCCAACTCATCAAACTCCTTAGGATCAGAGTTATAATTTGTCCTGCTTTGGGGCCTGAAACTGAAGGAATTAAGTTTGTGATTGGCAAACAGGTGTCGGGTGCGATTGTGAGTAAACGGAGTTGATAATCGGATCATAGATGAGTCCACGGCCATGGCCATGGGAATGAAAGTCCTGGTAAAAACGAACCAATTCGGGAGTGTTGGTATGCATGCATGTGTAGTTTTCTCGATGGTGGAGTGACGAGAGAAGGTGATAAGGATTGAACGGCTCAGATCCGAGTTCATTAATTCCCTCCATTAACTCCAGCAAGAAAATATTATATTATTTATTAATTAAAATTTAATCGATTTATTTGAATTTATTCAAAATTGATAATTGACCAAAAAAATATCTTCTAAACCGATTAAATGTTCCGAATAAGCTGAAATTTAAATAAATAAATTTAATTTGTTTGGCTTACTCGATTTAACCAAATATTTGCATTTCTATCCATATTATTTCATATGATAGTATGTATGTATATTAATAATTAGGGTAAAGTAGAGTAATGATCACTGAACTTTTCTAAAGCTTTCATTTAGATCCCTCAACTTTTAAAACTTGCAATACAGTCCCCCAACATTTAGTCCGTTTGCAATATGGTCCCCCAACAGTTACGTCGGGGATCATATTGCAAACGGACTAAATATTGGGAGACCATATTGCAAACGGACTAAATATTGAGGGATTATATTGCAAGTTTTAAAAGTTGAAAGACCTAAATGAAAACTTTAGAAAAATTAAGTGAACTTAATCATAAAATATTAGTCTTTCACCTCATTAAAGGAATTTCCTAGTAGGAATCACTCGCTATATCAAGATATGCACCGACCAAAACTAAGAAAAAATAATTAGTTTATTTTTTATAAAAAAATATTTTTATTTATTAATTAATCTATGGGAGTATATTGGAGAATTACATTTATATCATGTGTAACATAAATGATCTTAACATTTTTTATTGAAAAAAAGTAGTAATAATCTCTATCAACATTTTTTCTAACAAAATAAATAAATAATAAGTTTTTACCATGAATGAGATTTAAAAATAAAGTATTCTTTTTAATTAGTTAATCAAATAAATCAAGTGCAACTATTATTATTAAGAATTAAAATATGAAATATTATATTTATATACCTCAAGAGAAATAAATGAGATTTTAATTTCTCCACGAAATAACCGGAAAGGCTATAGGATAGCTAATTAAACCCAAAACCAAAGCAGATTGGTCAAATACAAATATCCCAAGCTTTAGTTATTTCTTTGGCATTTCACATTGGAAGAATTTTGGTGACGATAGTTTTAGATATACAAAATAAATAGGATGAATTACTTGTTGATTACGATTTTTTAGAACTTATAAATTAAAATTAGTGGGGATCCCAAAATATTTTGTAGGGTGAGTACATGTATGTTAATAACATAACATTTTTAAATAAGGTAGTCACAATCAAAATTTCATGATAAACCACTATATTATGTAAAGTTATTCTACGTTGTTGGTAATTGTGAATCTTTTTAAGTTGATATTGTAAAGAGATGTTGATGATTTTATCAAAGTCATAGATATCTATTAACGATTTTGATGGTCCTTGTTGGCCTGAAAGAAATTTGGTTATTACAACAGTGACATATATAAAAATTATCTTTTAGGGTGATCATATATAGCGCAAAATCTTTTATACGAGGCGGATACAAATAAAATTTTAGAATGAACACAATCAATCAAATGAGTAATTAATCGAGAAAATTCAAATTTCAAGATGGACACGTGTATGTTCTAAAAACAAGTTAAATATGCCTTGATTACAACTATCGACTCATTCTTCCTCTAAAGATGTAAGCTTAATCCAAAATGACAAAAAATTAATATATATATATATATATATATATATATATATATGTTCTTATCTTTATTGCCCGTCGATGGATTTTATTAATTTTTGAAGTATATTGCTCTCTTCTGTGTGGGGTACACGTTCACCATCGGGATTCAAAAGGTTGTGCTTTAAGCATAAGGAACCTGATAACTCGAATGATATAAGTTTCTCTCCCTCTCTTCATTTTTTTGATTTAGATTTCCTTTTTTTTCTTCTTTTAATTCTTTGTGAATCTGCTCTCTTCCGTTGCAGATTTGGTTGTAGTGAAGTGATGATGGACGATGAAGCTCGTGGTGGCTATTAAGGTTGACTTGATTATTAGTTTTGGATATCCAAACTGATTAATTACATGTATATAATTAATTATTCTAATCTTAATATAAAATAATTTAATCTTATTATTTAGTTAAAAATTAAAAACAGGAAACAATTTTTTTGAGTATCCGTCTTACCTGAAATTATAGCCTGGGTTCGATAAGTGTACTTGTATTATTTTAAAATAATTTTTAAATTTCAAATGAAATTCAATATCTTCGAATATAATAAAAAGAGAAAAATTAACAAAAGTTATATCATCATAAAAGAAATAAAAATATTATTTTCATATTAGCATTAAAATAGTACATCATTAATTTAATAAAAAATTAAAAGTTTTAATTGTAGAATTAATAGCTAATGATATAACCCTTTTAAGGGTAAAGTATAGTAATGATCACTGAACTTTTCCAAAGCTTTCATTTAGGTCCCTAACTTTTAAACCTTGCAATACAGTCCCCCAACATTTAGTCCGTTTGCAATATGATACCCGACGTAACTATTGGGGGAACATATTGCAAACGGACTAAATGTTGAGGGACTGTATTGCAAGTTTTAAATGTTGAGGGACCTAAATGAAAGCTTTAAAAAAGTTCAATGACCATTACTATACCCTAATAATTAAAACATATAAACTTATATGTATTTTTTCATAAAAGGGAAATATATCTATAGCTGATGTGTATGTGTTTTTATAGAAGAAAGAATTTTCAAACATCAAATTTAGTTCAACAATCAAATATGTATACACATTTTAATCATTTAATTCTCATTAATATCGAATCTATTGAAGGATTTTAATTTTTCCTACAACTCTCATATTTAAGTAACTGAATTTGCAATATGTATATGAAATTATTCACTCTTAATTTCAATAATACATTTAAAAGAGATGTATATTTCATTTAAAACTGAGGAAATTTGTCAATTGTTTAGCTCCACAAATTAAGATGTGATTAAAAGCATAATTTACTTTGAGCATCCTGAATCAATGGTGGTTTCTATCAAAATCTAAGGTAATCGAAGACGGAAACCAGGTTGAAGTAGGCACTGCTGGCACCTAAGCTTTCAAATGTGGAGGAATTTTGTTGGCTCAACATTACATTGCTTATCAGCCTCGAGCAACCTCCTTCTCCTTGGCCTTGCACAATTCATCAGCTGACTTCACAAACTTTTTAGTCGAACTCATCAATCTGCACAAAATTTTCAAACATAAATGCAAGGTCACTTACATTCCATAACTTCAATAAACTTATTAAACACCAATGAAACCAGCTCAAGTCTTTCTCCAATCTCTTGGCCTCATCCTTGGTGAAACCAGAACCCGCTTTCTTTATCGAATCCAATGCCTGTAAGGCAAGCAAAATGATTAAGTTGCAGCAATTGCTACTCCATCTCCGGTATCAAATTTTACATGGACAAAAGAAGTATTCCCTTTTTTGTTATCTCCAAGCTATGGTTGATAAGAAGAGTTAGCAGGCGAGACATCATCTCGTGTTACCAATAACTCGTAAAGACTAGTTTCATAAGCTAGCTTTGAATAAGAGAAATCGTAGCGTAGAAAGTATTGCCAACGGAAAGATTGCGCCACACGTGCAGAAAAGCGTTTAAGAAAGGGTGGGTTGGGATTTTAGTCTAAAAACCAGGGCGGGTTTGGAGCGAAAAAAATTAAAATTCATCGGGGTGGGGTGGGTATAAGAAAAATGTTTTCGGATTGGGGTAGGAGCGGCCAAAAACCCGGCCCAGCCCGCCCCGTGCCCATCCCTAGTTGCCACAGATAACAATAAGAGGTAAAAGGGTTCGATATCTTAGGCATACCATAAAAGATCATCTGAACCTCGGTCTGAACAATAGCTGGGAGAAACTTTTAATATAACAAGAGATATCACATTCAAAGCTGGACATTTCAATTTAAAACCTTCAACCTCTCGAATGTCAGAACTCAGAATTACTTTCATTGCATTTTATTGGGTTTGAAACATAATTATCAGGTATATAAATACATTGCACAATACCTTTTGTCGAGCCCTTCTTATGCTTTGTTTAACATCTTCAGAAGACTTGGCAACGACCTTGCACATAGCCTGCGGTGGTGCAAGAATATCTTAACAGTGAACAGCATAGATGAATGCCAAATAAGTGCAAAAAAGGTCAAGACAATCCCAAACTCACCTGCATATGCTCTTTTGTTAATCTGGTTATCACAAAACAAAGAATAACTAAATCAGTTGAGAGACCATAAAGTGTACTTGCAAATGATAACGATCAAGCATGAAAAATAAAAAGAAAATACTAATCGCAGATAAATAACAATCAATATAATCAGATTAGAACATACTAATTGTACATAGATTGCACTTAATTTATAAGCATTATTACATTGGTGATCAAATCAAACACTTCAACTTCCATACTAACTACCAAACACTATCAGGTCCTAAATTAGAAAGAATTATCCATAATGGAAATAATTCAGAGTAAACACTTACGGTGGAATAGCAGCGACCAACCGTTCCCCATCCACCTTTGGATTTAAGCATAATGGAGATGCAACAATGGCCTTCTCTAATGCTTTCAGAGTCTGGAAGGAAAAAAAACAACCTTTCAGTGTTATGTTTCCTCCAAAGTGGATTATAAATTTATTGTTATTCAACATGCTCTAGACAGAAGATTCTATCAATGGCTGCAGTTTTCTTTGGATCAAAAAACAGAATAGGAAAAAAAAGGCATTATGCTTGTTTAAGCATTTTGCTCAAATAGACACAAGAAAAAGTCTTATGTTAAAAATGATAATGTTTGAAATATTAAAAAAAAAATTTGTGTTTATTAGTGATAAGTTCATGAATTTTTAATATTCTGAGCAAAAAAAAAACAACATCAATTAGAAAGGGGGGAAATTGGCATAGAAGAAGTTTGTACTCTTACATTTGGATCATATGGATTCACCGATAAAGTTTTAGAATCTATAACAGAACAGCTAAGTGGTTCAGTTGCATCTTTACACCTTCCGTTTCAACGATAATATGGTCAAGCATTCCTGTATAAATACATTAAAATTGTTTTATTTTTAAACCACTATACTACAAATAAAATAAAATTTTATAAAATGCAAAGAAATTCAATTAAACCAGAAATATACCTGCAGATGCTCTTACTGTTCTCAATTTGGCTAGCTCCCGGGTTAAGGCCACTATTGCAGCATCCATCTGTGATGAAGCACTTGCTTTAACAGAAGGCCCGATATCAGGAGCCAGTTCCATTTAACTCCCACCAGAATCATCCTCTAACAATGCAAATTAAGGGAAATCACTACCGAATAAACCATTTCTTCTGATTTTAATAAAGCATCGGTATCCACATAAAAGAATCCAACTCATATGTTCAAAAGAAACTAATCCCTAGATTCCAACTTAATAATATTTTTTTTTGCAAAGAAGAGAGATCATTGATTGTAGCAAAACAATATGCAACCCATCAAGAAAAAAAAACCAACCACTTTTCACAATAAATCAACAAACAATTAAAAACAGCTTCTTCTTCTTCTTCTTCTTTTTTCTTCTTTTTTTTTTTTTTTGCTTTGAACGAAATCCCAAGAGAAAATAAGTAAGACGGGGTTAGAAATTACTGGATTTTTCTCCTTTGGCGAAACCTCGACGAGAATCTCCGAGCAAAGCAAAGGAAGGGAAGGGAGTGTTGTTTCGGGAATGGAGAGTTTGCTGGTTGTGAGAAACAAGAAGGAGACAGATGTTGCAGGTTTGGGTATTTGAGCCCATAAGATACAGTGTTGTTTGTATTGTGTTTCTTAATCGCATTGCTCGTCTGAGATACGAAGCCATTGTTTCCCCACTCTCCGTCTTTCTTCTCTGTTTCCGTCTCAGTTTCTAAGCTTTCAAGTTCTTTACATCGGGTTTAGGGTTTTAGTTTTGTCAATAAAAAAATCAAAATAGTAATAAAAGAAAGTCTATGCTTTGGGATTTTTAAAATTTTAATTTTACGTTAATATTTATGTTTAAAACCGGTTAACTGTATTAGAAGTCCTTTGTTCTACATCAAAATATGCATTTTAGTAAAAAAAACCATTAACCAACATCGATATTATTTAAAGCATATATTATTTTAGAATCACTTTAATCTAATAAAATATATGTTTTAGTTTTTTATTATAAAATATAATATTTTCATTCTATAAATTTGAAAATTTTAACATTTTGAATTTTGATTCAATGTTTTAAACCGAAGAAATAAGAATGATTTAAAATATTTTTCTTTATAATGATTTTTTATGTGAATCAAATCCGAATCAAACGTCCCTTGCGAGTTAGTGGGCAGAAGGCCTGCAGATGCATAGGCCCATCAAAGCTTTATTTATTTATTTTATAGTTTCATATTATTCATTGTGTCTATGGCCTGAAGACTAGGGAGGAAAAGGAGCATTTTTATAACTAGCTTATCCAAAACCAGAGTACAAACAAATGGCTCTCCTCGCCTGTAATCCACTTCCCTCTCTATCTTCTTCTCCATTTCCTTCTTGCTCCACGTCGTTGCCCATCTTCGTTTTACCAAGTATGTCTGCTTTTTCGTTTCACTCCGTCTTCTCTGGGAATTTTCATCGAACACCTCTTGTCATTGATGTAAACATTCTTCATCTTGTTACAACTTTTTTTTTTCTATTCGTTGTCAGTTTCCAGGTTGCGTTTGAAAGCGGTTGATTATCATCCTTTAAAATGTTCAATTGGTGCGCAGCTTGTCCCCAACAAGAAAAGATCGGGGATGATTGTGAAAGCATCTGCTGAAAGTACCGATGGCGAGCAACAGGTTCCATCGGAAACCAAGAAGGAAGATTTGGCTGTGGGACAACTTCCTTTAGAGACTAAGATGCAGCAGTTAGCGGAGCAGAAGATGAGGATGAAGCTGGCCAAGAAGATAAGGCTCCGTAGGAAGCGACTTGTTCGCAAGAGAAAGCTGAGGAAGAAGGGACGCTGGCCTCCTTCTAAGATGAAGAAATTGAAGAATGTATGACCTTTTGCTTACTCTTTTCAAATTCCTTCTTTTTATCGTGTAGATGTTATATGCTTTTGAGCAGTGATGACCTCAATGAACTGAATCTGCTGTTATTCGATTTCATTTTGGAATCTCAAAGATGTATGATCTAAGTACTTGCCTGATTTTGCTATCTCCTAGGTGAAATTCAAGCTATTTGTTCATTTGATACTTAAATGCATCCCATTCCCAAGCGTATATACATGATAATCCTGTCATTTTAGTGACTTTTACATGCTTGTGTTTCACTGCCCTGTAACTATTTTCTGAGGTGAAAGAAAACGGAGGAAGTTGATTCATTCCTTTGAGATCTTTGGGTAACAACAAAGTTAATTTTTGGGAGGATATTTGGCCTATGTATTGAAGCTCTATGTTTATATTCTCTGTTATTAAGATTTGGATGAATGTGGTATACAGATATGTGTCTAATGTAAGGTGTCTTCATTTTTTTTACTTTTCATGTATTTAGAAGGTCCTAAGAATATCATATCTTTGTATTTATATCTGAATATGCATCATATATAGGTTTGGAACATGGGTTGAGTTTCGTGTATCATTTACCGGCTTCTGTTTTGGTTCGGTCATTGTTAGAGTTACAAATGCCATTTTGGCATCTGGGGTATAACTTCTTTAAAGAATAAGAAAGCACATATAAGTTTAGCCTACTACTTGTTATCATTCTGGTTAAGATGCAATCTATAAAATCCACAAGTTTCAATTTCTTTTATTGTGTATGATCTTCTACGCATAATAAAAACTTTAAAAATAAGTATTTTCTTGGACAATAGTCATATCCCAAAATTCACTCCTAGTCTAAACAACATGATATGCAAGGAACAAATTGCCAAGTCCCCTTATCATGTGGAGGAAAAAAAAGAAGGGGTAATGTTGAATTGGCATCATTGAAGATGATACTTGTGAAGAAAATGGAAATTTTGGTTGTTTAAGATGAAATTGATCAGAGATCTGGGATAATCAAGAGTACAAGAATTGGTAAAAGTTTTATATTTTCTTAAATCTGCGCTTAATTTTGTTGGGGTTACTTTGGTCCCTTTAGGTTGTTGAGGCTGATAAGTCGACCACTTGTTCAAGGGATTGAAGGAATTGCTGTATTTCATTCGTGCATGGTAAATTTTTGCAGTTTTAACAAAGTTGAAAGGGGAAATATAAGGTCGGAGGAGGAGGTTGTCCATGAAACTAATGTAAGAAGAGATAATTGCCTTTAAAGTCTATCCTTGGTAGGAATGTAAACGCTCACAAGTTTAGGGTTTTTGTTTGTTTTTTATTTCTTTCCAGCAAATGATTTTTAATATAATACACCTTTTATTGTTGAGGGAACTTTTAACTCTTGCAAAAGTATGTAGGTGTGCGTAGTTTATCATAAACCAAGCTACCTAGTGGTTAAAGGGAAAGTCCTCGTCTATAGAGTTCTTAGGTTTGAGCATCATAGACTGCAAAGGTATTTATGATTTTATTGTCAAATGATTGAGAATCTTTAGAACATATACTACTTGTAATCACTTTAGATTAATAAAAAAAAATACGTAGATTATAATTTATCCATTGATTGAACATTCAACAATTGCTTGTCTTCCGTACATTTTTAGAGCTGGTTGATAGGGAGCATCTTGAGCGATTGCTCATGATCCCTATTTTCGATTTTTATAATTGAGGTTTGTAATTTTTTTAATCTCACTTTTTACATTTATAATTAAAGTTTCTAATTTTTTCAACTTCATAAAATTCTCAATTTATCATCCCTTTCTTAATCTATCTTATTAATTCATTTAATTTCGAATTAAATCTAATCATATTATGATTTGAAAGAAAAAAAAACTAATCATATTATTGTCTTTGTCTCAAATCTCTTTCTTCAATTTATTAAATATTCTTTAACTCCTATTCTTCTTCAATTTCAATCTAACGGTAAAAATTTATTCTTTATTTTTTATTCATTGTTCAAAATCAAGCTCCATGTCATATTCACATTCATTTTTTTTTATTCTGTTAGTTGTATATAAGGTGTTTTCATAATAAAAAAAATAAAAATAATGTTTAATAAAATTTAATCATTTTTTTATGCTTTGTTAGTGTAATATTAAATTAATTATTTAAAGTAATTGAGTATACTTTCATTTATAGGATTTATTTTTTAGTTTTCACTTACACAGTAAAAAATATCTGAGACGACTTTGATGAATAGCCAAAGTGTATATTTAACTTATATTAAACTTTTTGTTAAAAAAAATTATATTAAACTATTACCACAAAATAAAAGATTTTTGTTAGATCTAAGATTAGAATCAAGAACAATTCATAAAAATATCCAAAAATTTCACCACGAAATTAGACTAAAAGTTAATTTATAATATACCAACTTTATTATGTAACATATATAAATATTAAATTAAAATTAAGTAATTTCTCATTTTTTTAAGTCTTAGGGGCTCAAAATTTATTTATCCTAATTTATGATTAAAAATGAAAAAGAAATGTTAAAATATCATAAATGCCATGAACCAAAATGAAGGGGAGTTTAATGGTACACCACAAATTCTTGGGCCATGCAGCCATGCTCAGAAACAAAAGAGAGTAATCAAGCCCGGCTATGGAGTTCACACGTGTCAGTATCCGATTCACAGACACAGATTTCGTTGGATGAGATTCAATCAACTGTCCGTCGCCTATAAATCAAACCAGCTTATCCTGCTCTGTCGAAAAACAAGCATGGCAACCGAAATGGCCCTTGTAAAGCCTATCTCCAAGTTCAGCTCCAGAACCCCAATTTTCAGCAACTCACGATATGGCAAGTTCACCACCGTCAGAATGTCATCTACTTCGCCGCCAGCGACGACGAAGACCGCTTCCAAGGGCGGCAAGAAAGCTTCCAAAACGGCAATCAAAGAGACCCTTTTGACGCCGAGGTTCTACACCACCGACTTCGATGAGATGGAGACCCTTTTCAACACCGAGATCAACAAGAACCTTAACCAGTCCGAGTTCGAGGCACTGCTGCAAGAGTTCAAGACTGATTACAACCAGACCCACTTCGTGAGGAACAAGGAGTTCAAGGAGGCTGCTGATAAGATTGATGGTCCTTTGAGACAGATCTTCGTTGAGTTCTTGGAGCGGTCTTGCACTGCTGAGTTCTCCGGTTTTCTCCTCTACAAAGAACTCGGAAGGAGGCTCAAGGTATCATAATATTCATTTACCCTCTTTTCTAGTCATTAGGGTCGTAAATGAGACTTGGAGCTTGAGTATTAATTAGCTCACTCAATTTAAAAAGTTTAAAGTTGAATCGAGTTCAAATTTGTTCGAGTTTGAATGGAGTTTAAATTTAAGCTTCAACCGAACTAAGTTTATGAATGTTTGGAGAATCAAACTTCAATTTTTGAGCTCAAATTTGAGTAGCTTGTTATCTCTCTCGTCTCATTTACATCCCTATGCGCCGTAGCTAAATATATATTCATTTGTTTGGCTAAATACCGCAGAAAACCAATCCAGTTGTGGCTGAGATTTTCTCTCTTATGTCAAGGGACGAAGCCAGGCATGCGGGGTATGCACATTGATAGTTTTCTCTCTGTTTATGGCTATTATGGACAGATTAAGTTAAGTTAAAGTTTAACACTTTATTGATTTACAGGTTTCTGAACAAGGGTTTGTCTGATTTCAATCTGGCATTGGACCTTGGGTTCTTGACAAAGGCTAGGAAGTACACCTTTTTCAAGCCAAAGTTCATTTTCTATGCTACTTATTTATCTGAGAAAATTGGGTATTGGAGATATATTACTATCTACAGACACCTCAAAGAGAATCCAGAGTACCAATGCTATCCGATTTTCAAGTATTTTGAGAACTGGTGCCAGGACGAAAACCGTCACGGCGACTTCTTCTCTGCCTTGCTCAAGGCACAGCCTCAATTCCTTAATGATTGGAAGGCAAAGCTGTGGTCTAGATTCTTCTGTCTCTCGGTATTCATTTTGTTTCTTTCATACTATCTGTCATACTACATACCCATCACTGTGTTTTAACAATTTTGTTCTGCAGGTTTACGTTACCATGTACCTCAACGACTGTCAACGCACCGCTTTCTACGAGGGCATTGGACTCGACACCAAAGAATTCGACATGCATGTCATCATTGAGGTTTGATTCTGCCTCCATTGTTGTTTTTTTAATTTAAAGCATTCCATATGCATCTGCTTATGCTAGTAAAATTTGAGCTCTATCTAGGTGCATTTATTTATGGTTTTAATCTTGTTGAGCCATGATATTGGGGATTCTGCATCTTCCCCCAGCTTAATAGAAGCTAGAAGTTAGCAGCTAAATGGTTGTATAAGGCCTCGGAGTCTCGAGTTTCACCTGTTATTTACTTGTTAATCTTGGGATTCCTTGCCTGCAGACAAACCGAACAACGGCCAGGATTTTCCCCGCCGTGCTGGATGTTGAGAATCCAGAGTTCAAGAGGAGGCTGGACAAAATGGTTGAGATCAATGAACAATTGGTTGCTGTTGGGGAGACGGAGGATATTCCATTGGTAAAGAACTTGAAGAGGATTCCATTAATTGCAGCATTGGCTTCGGAGCTCTTGGCTACATATCTGATGCCACCGATCGAGTCAGGTTCCGTTGATTTTGCTGAATTTGAACCACGGCTTGTGTACTAGATTCTTATAAAGAGTTACATTTTTCTGGTACATTTTCAGCTTAAGTCGTGTTATATGTAGCAAGATTTAGCAAATGAAACTGAGAAACTGCTCAAGTCATTTTGCAAAAGTTTATGCCATATTGCATATCATTTCTCCTTTTTCTCTTCTTCACATACAACCGCTACTCGGACAAATCGATCACTCAGTCGATCACTCGTGACCAGACATAACCGAATAAAGCAATGACCTTCACCCAACGGAAATCGATGCGATATCGAAGCCATCATTGGATAAACATCCCCAAACAAAATCTCAAGTCCTCTGCTCCTTGCAAATCCTTGACCTTCTTGCCATGACAAAACAGAAAAACCACCATGATGAGATGATTAAAATCGACAAGAAGAAGACAATAGCACAACTTTGAACCAGACTCTCACAATGCTGTTAAAAACAACATTAGATCTCCGTCTCTCATAGTTTATATATATATTATACAGATTGTGTCCTTTTTTAGCTGTTAATATAGCTTTAAACACAAATAAATTTAGAAACAAATCAATTCGTTGAAACTCGGTTCATTTTTACAGCCTAAAAGGTTGTTCGTCGTAATAATCAAGCTATACCAAACTTAGTTTCATCCTTAAATTTGTGGTTCTTGGAAATCGGAGGCGAGTTGCTGTCAAAACCATAAAGGACGTCGATCTTCTGCAAAAGCTTGGGAACCACCGTTTCTACGTCT